AAGTTGCCTCTACGTTTCCTGTGCAAATGGAGAAGAGAAAATACAGGACTTTACACCTTTGGCCATCGCCATTATCAATGCCTTACCACCTCTTTTGGTAAACCTTTTTCTTCCTTCACTGTGTTAGACTCAATACTATTACTGCATTGGCTCATGAACTCATGTATATATCATATAACTTGCTTTTAGAAGGTTGTTTCGCCAAATGTTGCCGGAACCAAGTTGGCCACCATGTTTTTTAAGAGAAGAGGCAATAACATGCTTATGACCAAGCAAAGTTGCTTAAAATATTTCTCTTCAAGCTCGGCCTCTTAACTTGCAGACAGAGCTTAGAAGTATTGTCTAGCCAGCGCAACTATTTATTATCTGTAAGTTGCTAACACTCTTGAGCATCACATCACTGGAATACAACTACTGCTTCTATTATCAGCAAAACATAGTGTACGTGGCATATATTTATACAAAATCCAAGTTTATAATATGGTAAAGTACACATGCTGTCAGGATAACATGTGTACATCTATGAAGCACGGACACGCATAACATGAAGCCGTGTCGTGTCGTGTCCGTGTCGGACACACGTGTCGAACACACGTATCCTATGTATTTTTTAGGATTTGCCTTGTGTCGGCGTGTCGGATGGCCGTGTCGGATCCGTGTCCGTGCTACATAGGTGTACATGCATGCACACATTGTAGACAAGCCATCTATACAGCTGTAAGAGTATTCCATAATAGCGGGTTCACATTTGATAATCATGATACAAGTGCCAGTTTCAGGTAGAATTGCAGCAAAGGATAAAAAGAAACCAAAACAATTCTGGATGGTGTCGCCAAGATTCAGATAACAGATTCACAAATGAAAAATGTTAACCTATTTTAATCCTGAACTTCTTCTTCCAAAGTACAAATTTTAATGCATTTTCTTCATGACAAGGAAATTATTTCTTTCATGTTAACTTGTGTCCATAATTTCGTTAAGAGCTAGCCCGTCTCGTGCACCGCAAAATTTCCACAGATCTGTAACTTTGGTAAAGGAGAAAAAAAAGTCCTTGCAACATACAGTCAGTGTTATCTTGGGCGCTCTGAGATGCTCGCCTCGGGCACCAGGCATTTTGGGCTGTAAATGCACCTTGCACGAGATGTGGGGTGCATTGTAAGTGAGGTGTGGGCCTCATTGCACCTATGCATCGGTGCGCCTGGTGCGTCTCGCTACTAGTCTCCATTTTGCTACTATTTCTAATACAACATCCTCTTATTCCTCCTCTTTTGCCTTCTCTTTTGTCTTTGTTTCCTCATTTTTTTACTCATTTTTTTCCCTTTTTCCTCTCTTGTTATTACTATTTCTATATATGGAAGGTTGTGAAATCACAAACAACTGTTCTAGATATTAAGGCATCAGTTATCAATATTGTACAATTTGATTATGTGTCTTTGTTCTTTTGCTAAGTTATATGAAGTACTGTTAAATCAAGGCTTGCATGTGTTATGCTAGACGATCCTCTTCTTAGAATTTTAGTAATTATGGACACATGATTTCAGAGAAAAAGTTCTTTTATAAGATTTCAGTGTGATTAATTATTGCAAACATGGAAGGATAGAGTTAAGTTGACATTAACTTTCTTTTAACTGATGTTAAAATTATGAATTAAGATCCTATTTTTGTGATTTGGTAGATGAAATTATTATCTTAATGTCATTTTTCTATCAAAAAAATTATGTATGTGCCATGTGCCTTGGTTCACTGAGGCACGCGCATCACCTTGCTCCTTGTGCATGATGTGCGCAAGGAGAGTTTGCACCGCACATTGAACCTTGCGCCTTGATAGTACTGATACAGTGTTTCGCAAAAATCTACCATTAAAACATTCCTCATAACATACAGTACAAGACAAAATCTACAATGTGCAAAGGCATTGTAGTTGAAGGTATTATCATTCATTTTGTAAAAGTACAGCAAATCACTTTTCGATGAATCAAACGGCCATATGAGGGAATAACATGGTGAAACATGGATCCTTAAGGCCAGATGAATCAAATTGATAGCCCTTGGAAAAATTCCTAGAACAAGCATAACACTTTCCTATCAACAAATTATAACCTTGTTTGACTGCGACAATCTAGCAAGAAAATAGAAAAACTGAACATACAAAACTGACGCTTAATCATACCGGTTGTTCAACATGCTCTTTCCAAAATCCAGCTGTAGATTCTTTTGCTTCTTGGATCCAGTTGTCAATATCAGAACTTCCCATTAAACTACTATGGCGCAATAGCCAAACTGAACACAATGAAAGGCCAACTGCTCCACAAGTATAATGTAACCAGTACAATGTCGATTTTCTTGGTTTTTGACACCTGGAAAGCTAAAACAGCACAGAAAACAACACATCATTAGACACATCACAATATGATGAGCTGAGTAGTGTAATATACTAACATATAATACAACACTCAAGAATAAGGTGAGTTCACGTTGCATGAAATAAATTGCTTTGATAATGTTCCGGATTGCTTTCGCTTCCAAAGACGAGTTCTGTAAAATTAAATTCTTCAAATGCACTTTCTTTAAGGTGATTACAAGTGATAACTCATGACGATTTTAAGACCTTTCTCATCAAAACTTCAGCTATGAGCAAGAAGACAAGCTGAAAAAGTTTCCCAAACGCATTAACCAAATTTTCCATGACCGGCTGTCAAGATCTGAATGGTGCCAATTCTTGGCCAAGGCAACTATAAGCATGTGAGAACCATGCTGACACTTTGATGGGGCCATTTGTCTAGGAGGTGAACCTCACTTTCTGGGCATGCAGTTTAGAAGTCACAGTAAAGGAGGAATCTCTAGCTAGATTACCCCAACGGAGGAAGAGAATGAATAAACCAATAAGATGATAAACTTGTGATAATGAAGTAAACTGTATCTATCTTTCTTTCTGAGGTAAAATTAAACAAGGAAGGACCCATTAAAACAGATTTCTGCAATAAGATGTGTGTTTATATCGACTTCAATAAATTATGATGTGAACGAACTTTACAAGCAAAAATGGATATTGAAAGGAAACTACCAGAATTTATATGTTAAAATAACTTCTCACATCATCATGCCATGCGAATGTTTAGGCAAAACTCTTTATCCTTTTGAATACTAAATGACACAATTTATGGAACAATATAAGTTAGCTTAGCTTCTTGAACTACCTAAACCAAAAGAGATCATCGCACAAAACAAACAAAATTTAAATAACTCAATCAAGGAGATAATCAATAAAATGACATGTAAATAATGTCAACTAAGTTTGATACTAGCAAATAAATCCATCAAGAATCAAATTTGTTTTGAAGAAAAAATGATGAAACAATATTAAATAATTCCATCCAGGATCAAATTTATTTTGAAGAAAAAACAATGAAACAATATTATCTGGGATGTCACCATGTAGAAGCAAGATTCATGGGTTTCTTGCTTATGAAAGAGTTTTCTATTTTGATATGCTAGAGTTTTTGTGGAGGTTTAATTCCTGATCCCATTGCCTGATGTTATTTCTATTCGAGGGACTAGAAGTGAAACTTATAATCAAAGAGTTGTGTAAAAATTTAAACCAAAGTTGTGTGATAGTTGAAAGATTGTTGGCCATGATTCTAACAATTGCAAGAAGAAGCAAGTAAATATGTAGTGAAGGCCAAAGCCAGTACAAGTTGTACAACCTGTTCCTCAACAAAAAACTGATACTGAACCAGTTACTAATGTACAAGTGCAAAATCAGAAGGAAGATATTCAGGTTCATTCAGGTTGAAGGTGTGACAAATCAAGATGGCTGGCATACAGCTCATAGACCTGGTCAAGCTACTCCTGTTGTTGATTATCTGCACTCTACAGCATACTAATGATTTAGATCGTCTTGTTACCAATATACAGGTGTGGTGACACAAGACACAAGAAATAATGCATTCTCCCTTGGTTTAGAGGGGAAGATCATCTCAAAGAATTTCCTTTAAATATAACACAAATATATGGGTGTTATTTGTGCAGAATCTACTTTCCTCTTGATTAATCAGCCATCAAGAAAGATTAATGGACCCTAAACTCCTCTAAATATCCACTCACCCATACAATTAACTTCCTGGTATAAACATCTTTAATGTGAGAAGACGCATCTGGTCTTTCATCTAGCTTTCCTTCAATCTGTGTCCACAGTAAAGATGCATAAAAGAAGCAAGTGTGAGAGATTAATATGTTAACAAATATCTACATCATTAGTATGATGTAGAGTGCTTCTGTTGATATTCCCCTCCTCCCTCTCCCCCCCCCCCCAAAAAAAAAAAAAACCCCCCCCCCCCCCCCCCCCCCCCAAAAAAAAAAAAACGAGATTATTAACTATTAAGAACGTCCCTTCTTGAATATTCCTCAACAGAATGATTTTAGCAAGCCCATGGATTAAAAAGGCTATCTTTTCTATTGCTAAGAATAAAGCCCCTGGGCCTGGTGACTATTTTGCTGCGTTCTTTAGGAAATCTTGGGGTGTTAGTGGACAAGATATTATTGACACTGTGATGGAGTTCTTTCAAAATGGTAAACTCTTGGGAGAGCTAAATTCTACTACTCTTATTTTGATTCCTAAGGAGGAAAATCCAAGCAATTTAGCTGATTTTAGCTGACTTTGATTCCAAATTACGATATGAAGGGGTCGGGCAAAGGGAGATCTCAGGGTCAACACCAGACGATGAATGTGCAAGTAGAGATATAATCATTTTAAAGGGTTGTCCATCTACTCATTGTTTTCTATCACATTTCAACAAAGCTTATATAACAACAAATGAAAGATATGAAGGATCGTAAGACTATTTATCTCTCTCTTCACAGAACTTCCAAGGGAGGATTAATGCTGTTCAGGTTTAGATCAACTGTACTACAGTTGTGGGATTACCATATTTTTTTAAAACAAATTATTTTGTCTTTTGGGTTATAGTTCTCAACGTGAATATCACAAGCTGTACATTGTGGAAGATTCCATAGTATTTGGTCAGCTTAATTCAAAATGCAGAAAGTACATATAAATTCCTTATAAATTGCAACACCCCATCTAAATATGCCTGGCTGGATTTTGATAAAGAATTTGCAAGGTCAATCTACATAGTTTAAAAAAAACAAGGTTTATGGTTATGGTTCATAACATGAATTCATGAAAAATAAGCAGACACATACATGCTCTTAATGGAATACCAGTAATTCAACCTACACTGTGACACTCATGTAAACCCTACGTTCAACTATTGGAAAAAGAAACAGAGAGGTACAAAGGAAAAATGCACTTACAAAGAAAGATAGATATGAATCTAATCTTTGAAGATTTTGACGAATCACATTAACTGCATCCCCTATTTCAGTATCTTTCCATTGTGATTGTTCCTTGTCTATCTCACATAACTTCTCAAAGATAAGTGCACGTGAGCCTTCCCCTTCCATGGAAAATGAACAATTGCTCTGAGATTAAGAAAAAGCATGTACAATTACAGCTGGGAGTCACTAGCATGGCAAAAATACATATTTTACAAAGCTGCTAGATGGATATTAAAACAAAGTAAACGTTTGAAGCATGGAGGTTTAATAAAGATTACCTTGTAGATTTCAGATGGATGGCTAATGGAAGCTTCAAGTTCTGAAAAGATGCTATTGATTGCTTTTAATAATTGGGGCAAGAAGTTGTCAGAGTCCTCTGTTAGCATTTGCCCAAATTTGTTCACCTCCAAATAAATCTACAAGGATCGTCATTTAAAAAAATTGTTATAGGTCTAACGAGCATGTTAAGAGGTCACACTCTAAAATTGAAGGCAAAATGTTAATGCCTAAAAATAGCGCTAAGTAACTCATGCCAATTATGAAACATATTATATGAGCAAATTCCTACGAGAAAACGAAAAATTGTCAATCAAAGCATAAAACTGAGCACGCATATTGATACATATGAAACTGAAAGTTGATTTAAAGGTGGCAGAACCTGAAATCAACTGGGTAGGCATCAGTTTGACTTAAGCTTGTGCAATGCAAACCTGAGCAAGGAATGTTGCCAAGCAACACTGGAAACTTTTCAAAACAGCTATATTTGCAGATATTGTACCAGCAGCAGAACGAGACATATGCCCAAATGGAGACCCCTGAGTACCAAATCTAGTTACAATCTGATATGTTCCATCAACAAAAGCCCGTGGACCCCTCTGGAAAATCATAAACGATATTTTCCGACTACTTGTTCCCTGAGACAAAAAAGGTTGAATTTCATGAACAAAAATTAATAATGTATATTGTAATAGGAAAGAACCTTATCTATTTATACAGAACATATTTTAAACTGATTAGATAAAGTTTTAAATTCGAGTAACAACAACCTCAGCTAGAGACTGCCAAAATAACAAGCTCTTTTGTATATTATGCAAGCTTGACAGAGTATGTCCCAAGATATCTTCTAATATAGCAAGTACTCTTGACGTGTCTCTGGCAATCCTGCAAATAGTAGATATTGATTAACCTTGACATTCATATCATTAAGATGAAGCTGCAGCAAATATAATATCTAACTTCAGATTTTATGCATTTAACGAACTTTTCTTTAAGGCCTTACAAGTATGGATGCATAAAATGTTAAAAAATGGTTTATTTGCTTGCTGGAATTATCCCAGTTCCACATGTTATATCATAATTTTAGACCTTCGAGTTAGTCCTACGATTAGAGATGCAAAGGTATATTGATATTCGCGGGTATGTATGCCGCCATGTGCATCCTTTATATCAGATATATCAATATATGGAATCAGTCAACTGAAATTACATTGATCATAGATTAGTGGGTCTATGATAAATGGTGATCCAGATATATGCCTAAGCTTTTTAGATATGTCAAACAGAACGTAGAGCTCTAATTAGAGAAATGTCAAATTAATTAAACATTTTATATGTAGCTATCCTATATGTTTTTCAGTCTTCCATATCCACTTTGTATTCTCATGGGACCATATCAGATACGTATTTGTATCAGTATTCATGATTAATAAGCGAATATTAATATAATAACTTATCATATCCAATCCACATTCGACTCATTTGCACCACTATATATGATGATCATGAATACCACATCTGAGATTTGAAATATCATTCCCTTCTCACATACATGATCATAAATACCTTAAATTTGATTGTCAAATGATCCTTAGAGAAGGAGAACAAGTGCAGATTCGAGCTGATTAGAGATATTTTTTATTTACTTAACAATTTAAATCAAAGAGCCTATATATTTCTCATTCTTAATATTTTCCCTCATATCTGCAGCATACATTTATCCAATTCATATTATGGGTTTTTCTTACCGAACTGCGTCTCTATTTTTAACAGTATCCATGATTACTAAGTGATATGGGTATGATAGGTATCATATCTGATCACTAATTGATCCATTTGCATCCTTATCGATGATAACCATGAATAACACATCTGAGCTCTCAAACATCATTTCCTTCTGGTGCATACACGATCATGTTTCATGATTACCTTAAACTTCGTTGTCAAACGATCACCACAGAAGGAAAACAGCCCTGTAGCCCTAAATTGAGCTGGTCCGCACTTAATGCCCACTATTAGCGATTTAGCACCCAAATTACCAACAGTTTCACTCAAACCAACACAAATCGATGCAGCAAAAGACGAAGAACTTACAGAGAAGACTGAATTGAGCTCGAACCAAGAGGAAGAGGGAGCCCTAGCTTTCGTCGCCTCGATCGCGACGGCAGAAACTTCGAGTAGAGATTCGAGATTTTCGCGAGGAGGCTGGAATCTGCAGAGGGGAGAGCTTTGAGGAGAGATCTCCAGATTCGATTCGAGAAGGAGACGATGAGGGATTTGGTGTCGGTTGGTTCGCCATTAGGGTTTGATGACGGCAGAGTCGCCGCCATTTGAGGTTTTTCGAATTTTTCACCTCCTCGGATCTCTGAGATCGTCGGGATTCGAAATGAAAGAGGAGGGGTTTACGAGTTCGGGTCGGGCCCAAAAAGACGGCTTGCGGACTTTTGACCCGGATCCTAATTCTCAAGAAGAGAGGAGCCCAAATGTGTATATTTGCACATAAATATATTCTAGCATGTAAAAAAACGTGCTTTGCACATGATGCATAACGATATGAGACTAAACATTTCAAGGGCAAGTTATTGGGACTTATACTACTTTTTCTCTCCAAGAATTGCATACTTAAACTAATAGATTAATGTTTTTTTCGTTAATGGGAGATGAACTCAGTCGTAGATCTGTTAATTTCCTCCAAAGAAAAGCAATATAATCTTCTGTTGATGTACAAATGATCACACAATCAATATGTATCCGTGTTTGGATGAGTTTGTTGAGGATTAATGAGGGGGTCGCTTTCTTCCCCGACTTTATGTTTGGTTCTTGAGTTGTGGATAACTGAAAAATCTACACGTGTAGGAACTCGTGAGAGGGCGGGGTTTGGTTCTCCCGTTATACCTCTGACGATCAAGTTAGCTAATGAACTTGAGTGGGGTCAATAAGAACTATCAGAGTTCTTATGCATGTGCAATATGATTTGTACATTTTTGTTACTTTGGATCAGAATCCAACATCAAGGATCAAGAGAGAGAGAGAGAGAGAGAGAGACTCTAAGTTGAAATAGTACATCTATATATACCAAAATGGTAAGGGTAGATTGGTCACTTTGGCCTAGTACTAACAGGCGGTGGTGAGGTATGGACTGGCAGCTGCGTCAGCACATGCTTTACAGGTGTCGGCCAGCAAGTGGAGGGAATGTTATTTCGGCATTAAATGAGAAGTGACTGGCGGCGTGGTGATGCCCACGTGGTCCGATGAGTCATAAAAATTATCCGTGCTAGAGATATGATGACACCTGCCAAGCATTAAATGCGATCTTGACACGTTGTCATCTAAGATAAGCTCAAAGCAGAAACTTGTCCTCTAGCTTCGCCGAGAAGTAACACCTTTCGAGTCGACTTCGCTAGGCGTCTGGCAAATGGTCGAGTGGACTCGTGGTGAGTTGGCTTCGATGAAAGGGAGCGACAAGTACCGCCTTTCGTGTCAATATCTTCTTTCTCAATTATCACCTGTAAAATCTTGTTGGCTATGAGACATCCCACTTACTATAATCAATGGACTAACTCAACTATCAAAATTCTCACTTCCTCCATTTTTTTCCTTTTGATTATTTAGTATTTTCTTTTGTGCATTTGAGCATCCATATATAGTATACTTTTATGCAACTCTTGAGATCCAAATAGAATATTTATGGAAGTAGATGAGTCGTGAAATAATTAATGCATAATTATTTAAGAGAATTTAATTAGTCTATGAGAGAAGATACACGAATGCTTTTATTATGGATTCATTTCTCACTACAATTCATATTAAAATATGTTATTAGTACTTATTGTAATACTATTGTAATACTATTACTCAATCGTCCTACGAAAATATGTTTTTATCTTCCTATTCCGGATACATGAATAACGATACTGTTGTAATACTATTACTCAATCGTCCTGCGGAAATAGGTTTTATCTCTTTATTTTCGGATACATGAAAAATGACTATACTCTCCCATATGTATTCATCAGCTCAACATGAAACAAAACATGTTAACACAATATAATCTAAGTGTACGTTGTAGGCGTCAAAAAATGCTAATAGATATCCAAACATAGAGAAGATCATCAAAAATCACCTCATACTGTCTTAAGAGAAACCGTTTCGTCTTTTAGTCCCTCTTTCATTTGAATTTCAAGAGAGAGGTTTATGGTCCCCCCTATTTGAAATAACCCTTTTCACACTTGAATTTTCAAGAGAGAGTGTTTGCGGAAAAAGTTGCTGTATTCATTGCTGCATTCATTACAACTTCAATCGTTACAATGAAATAAAAAGATAGCCTTTTTATAAGACCGGTACACAATGAAAACAAAAGAAATACAACTCTTTTCAATCAAACGCAAGATCTGTTCATCATCTCTTGCTTGCGTGGGTCTTTTGCCTGTGACGGGGATGTTGATATCCGTGGACCACCGGGGCACTCAGATTAGAATTTTTGGCAAATTCTCAGCCATTAACGGGTTTGATAAGCCTTTACCGACTACCGTTTGAGTCGGGCTAGCATGCGGATTGTTTAAGTCCGTTCCGCACGTGACGTTGTGCTAAGAGAGTTAACGCTCTTAGTGCTACGATATTGAATACGTAGACTTCGTCTTTCTCACGGGAATAGACTACCCGGCGACGCGTGTTAGGCGTTGTCTTTAGGATTTTTGGCTAATCCTCAGCCTTCAACGGATTTGATTAGCCTTTACCGACTACCGTTTGAGTCGGGCTAGCATGCGGATTGTTTAAGTCCGTTCCGCATGTGACGTTGTGCTAAGAGAGTTAACGCTCTTAGTGCTACGATATTGAATACGTAGACTTCGTCTTTCTCACGGGAATAGACTACCCGGCGACGCGTGTTAGGCGTTGTCTTTAGGATTTTTGGCTAATCCTCAGCCTTCAACGGATTTGATTAGCCTTTACCGACTACCGTTTGAGTCGGGCTAGTATGTGGATTGTAACGCTGTGTTCCGCATGTAACGTTGTGCTAAGAGAGTGAATTCCCTTAGACTTTGTGCTATGATGTTGAATACATAGGCTTTGCTATTGTTACGGGAATAGGCTACCCGGCAACACGGGTTAGGTGTTGACTTATCCTTACTTAGGATTCAGGATAAAATTCCCCGTGCGTGTGAGGCACGGATTATGGTGTTATTAATAACATCTTGCCACAATGTTGAATATGTGGTCTTTTGTCCTTTTTTACGGTCAAAGACTAACCGGCAACGCGTGTTAGACGTAGGCTTTGGGATTTTTTGGCAAACCCCCAGCCATCAACGGGTTTGACGTGCCTTTACCGATCACCGTTTGAATCGGGCTAGCATGTGAATTATTAAACCCGTTTCACATGTGACGTTGTGCTAAGAGAATTGCTTCCCTTAGACTTAATGCTATGATTTTGATTACATAGACTTCGTCTTTCTCACGGGAATAGACTACCCGGCAACGCGTGTTAGGCGTTGACTTATCCCTACTCAGGCTTCGGGATAAAATTCCCCGTGCATCGAGTGCCCGGATTTGACAATCGTGTCTTTTCTAAAAGCAAAGACAGATTGAGAAACGGGAGAGGAAGAATTTTATATTCTATCTCCCGGTGCTGAAGAGGAAGAATTTTATATTCTATCTTCGGCCGGAAAGGAGACTTGGGGTGGGATCTCCACCCCCAGAATCCAGAATGGTGAAACTAGGAGTGGGATCTCCACTCCGAGAATCGAAAAGATTCGGATAACCCTAACTGTCGGAAGGTTTGGTTACTGAACCAAAGATGAATTTCTCGTTTATCGAGAGTGAATTGTGATTTTGGTCCTAACTGTAGGAAGGTTTGACCAAGCAGGAGTTTGAGATGATCCTAACTGTCGGAAGGTTTGATCACTCGATTTTGAAAGTGGACCTCTCGTTCGTTGGGAGAATCGAGAGGGGATTTTGACTGTGGTCCTAACTGTATGAAGGTTTGACCAAGCAGGAGTTTGAGACGATCCTAACTGTCAGAAGGTTTGATCGCTCGATTTGAAGGTGGACCTCTCGTTCATTGGGGGAATCGAGAGGGGATTTTGGCTTTGGCCCTAACTTTTACAGGTTTGACCAGAAAACACAGAAAGTGGAATACAGGTAGCAAAGAGAATGCCAACTCGTATTATCACTCACAGGGAGACTTTGAATGCTAGGCGTTCAGGACCTAGCACGTTAAGTCTGCAAAATGCCAATGACGGGCAAATGGAAATGTTGGTGGATCCACTGTCGTTTGATTTGATCAGCGGATGGTTTGGTGAGGAAAGATTAACCTACCAGAAGATTGGATCTCTTCTCACAAAAATAACTCATAAGAGTTAGAGAATAAGAAGAGACATTCTGACCTTCAGGGTTCGAATGTAGATTTCTCCTTCGTCAATTCCACAAAGACCGGGTTATCCCTAAGAATACCCCTGTGGTATTCTTTCGGGAACTTCCCGATGCATTGGATAATCCACCCCCAGTTTCTCTCTTGGAACTGGGTTTGACTTGGTTGTCCGACCGGGTTATCCTTAAGAATATTAGCGTAATATCCTCCAGGAACTTCCCGTCAATGGTGGGAAATAGTTTAGACTCATATACCTGTTGGAGTATCAGGGAGCAGTTTAACCTCATATACCGGTAGGAGGAATGAGAAACAGTTTATACTCGTATACTCTTTGGAGTGAGAAGCAGTTTATACTCTTATACTTATCGGAGTATCGAGAAACAGTTTATACTCTTGTACTCTTTGGAGTATTGAGGAACAGTTTATACTCTTGTACTCTTTGGAGTATTGAGGAACAGTTTATACTCTTGTACTCTTTGGAGTATTGAGGAACAGTTTATACTCATATACTCTTCGGAGTCTTGAGGAACAGTTTATACTCTTGTACTCTTTGGAGTATTGAGGAACAGTTTATACTCTTGTACTCTTTGGAGTATTGAGGAACAGTTTATACTCTTGTACTCTTTGGAGTATTGAGGAACAGTTTATACTCTTGTACTCTTTGGAGTATTGAGGAACAGTTTATACTCTTGTACTCTTTGGAGTATTGAGGAACAGTTTATACTCTTGTTTTTGTTGAGTTTTTGCAGTTACAGACCCCAGAGGCTATAAATACCCCCCTAGGGTCATTTCTGACGAGGATCGAGCATATTTTCAAGCAATTCAGAGCAGAGAGAGCAGACTTGAGTTCTTGGTGTGATTCCCTTGAAATTGAGCTTTGACTTGATTTTAATAAGAAGGACTATCTTACTTTGATAAGATATCGTTTCAAGTTCTCACTTCGATAAACGAAGTCAGAATCAGTAAACCCCTTTCACGATCTGTGATTCGGCGGTTCACGAACCAAAGCATTCCCGGCACA